GGGAAGCGCTGGCTGCGCTTGTGCTGAGTTCAGGCCTTTCGAGCTCTGGGGAAATGTGTTGAGGCTGCATTTTCTTCGTTGCCGTCATCGCGTTCGGCGCTTTTCAGGGTGATCTTTCTCTGGGAAGCGCTCGGGAGCTGAGCCACCAGCACTCTGGAGAGTTAGGCCAAGTTTGCTCTCTAGTCTTGGTGCCAGCTCTCTGGGTGTCCTCTCTGCGAGCTGCCGAACAGCCCTGTCCGATGCAGCACCTTTATCTCCCTGTTTATTTTATTTCAGTACAAGTGAAGTATGCTGAGTGCTTGCCAGGCACCTGGAAATTCCGTAGTGCCACAAGGCAAGTCCCCGGCCAGTGCCCGCCCTGGCTTCTTGTGCTCGCTGGAGGTGCTGCAGGGGTGGCATTGTTGGGCTCCCAGCTATTCCCTCCCTTCTCCCAGCAGCTGTGTCGTTTGCCCAGTAGGAGGAGAGGAAATGCCACAGAAGAGGAAAGAGCGAAGAATCCGTTTTACAAAGCAGCTGGCTGCGTGCCCTGCGTTAGCTGCCTCACTGCAGCTACCTCCTCTGGTCGGCAAAGTGACCCTTCCTGCGCCAGCACTGTCAGGTTGTAGCAGACATCACGTATCAAGGAGCGTTGTCCTCTGGGTATAAATAGCCCGCCTCCAGGAAGGCTGGAGGCTTTGGGAACGGCTCTGCCGGTGTCCGGGAGAATGCTGACCCCGTTCACCTCTAATAGGTGGTAGATGCACTGCAGGAGCCTGCGCCACAGCTGCTGGAAGAGCATGAATCTGTATTTGCTGACTGGTGCATCTGGTTCTTGGCTATAACTGTACATCAGTGCCTACTACACTTAGCAAAGCAGTGGCAAACTAAGTTGTTGTTGACTGTTGGGCACTGAAGAGGCAAAAGGAACAGAGGTGTTTCTAGGCTGTGCTTGCACAGGAGTGCTTGCCTCGCTTAAGGAGCTGCGTGGCTCTGGCTGCCCGAGGCACAGCGATGTCTGTCGAGCAATGTCCGAGCAATTCGTTCACTGGGCAGTGTAGTAGCCCTCTGAACTGCAGCCTGAGGGGAGCAGGTGTGCAGGGACAGAAACAGGAGCTTGGTTGGGAGTTACTGTGCGAACAGGCCTGGGAATTGCTGTCACTGGCTCTGGAGTCCTGTGGCAGTGAAGGAATCTGCTCCCTGGTTTTGGCTGCCCTTAATCATTGCTTCTTTATGAGTGTACCTTGGCTCTGAAGCTAAGGGAGGGAGAGGGTGGTTCTGGGCACTGGCATTGCCTGGGACCAAGAGGGACCTTCTCGCAGAAGAGACCAACAGCTGTGGTCAGCTTTGTGTGAGTGGGAGAGGGGAATGCTGCTGTGGCACCAGCCCGAGTTTGTGATGGGATTCCAGTGTGCCCAAGCACTCCCTTGTGCTGCAGCATCAGGTTGTCCTGTTCCTTGGGAAATGTTGGGTGCAGAACTTTGACTTGAACCTGGATGTGCTGGCTTTCCTGGGAAGCTCAAGATGTTTGGAGAGCTGTGAGCACAGCAGTGGTGTTTCCCCATCCCACAGGATGCCCACTGAGCTGTGTTGTGGAGGCAGAGGCTTCCCCTGCGCTCCTTGTTGAACTGCGCTGGCTGCGTCCCTGGGGGCACCTACAGTCTGGTGGGACTCGTGTCCTGGTGCGGTTCTGGGCTGTGCTTGGGCACCAGCTGGAAGGGCGAGCGCGGCGCCAGAGCTGCAGCTGGGAGCGGGAGGTGGCGGTGCCAGTGATGCTGAGTCAGCATGACTGGCCCCGAGCAGCCGAGCCTGGACCCGGCCGCTGCTGCCAGGCTATTTTTACATACACGTGGCTTCTGTGTACTCTGGCTCCTCCTCGTGTTTTAATTTCCCCCGCCCCATGGGAGAAACCAGCATTGCCCAAAGCCTCTGTGGGAGGGGGGGGGAAGGGCAGCGGTTGAGTCTGGCTCAGGCGGGTGCTTGTTGAGGGTGTTCCAGGGCAGGGTGCTGCCCTGCCGCAGGCTCTGCTGTGTCCCAGGGCGCTAACCTGACCTTCTTCCCTTCCAGAACCTGCTTGACCAGGCTGTCGTGTTATGACGACCCCCAACAAAGGAAACAAGGCCTTGAAGGTAAGGCAGGCGGATGAAGGGCTGCGGGCGGTGGGTGCATCTGCTCCAGGTTTCACAAGTGTGTGCTGCCATCTCTTCCAGGTGAAGCGGGAGCCGGGTGAGAATGGGACCAGCTTGACAGATGAGGAGCTGGTGACCATGTCTGTGCGGGAGCTGAATCAGCATCTACGGGGCCTGTCGAAGGAGGAGATCATCCAGCTGAAGCAGCGCCGGCGCACGCTGAAGAACCGGGGCTACGCGGCCAGCTGCAGAGTCAAGCGCGTTACCCAGAAGGAGGAACTGGAGAAGCAGAAGGCAGAGCTGCAGCAAGAAGTGGAGAAGCTGGCGTCGGAGAACGCCAGCATGAAAATGGAACTCGATGCTCTCCGCTCCAAATATGAGGCTCTCCAGAACTTCGCCAGAACCGTGGCCCGGAGTCCCGTGACCCCTGCGCGGGGGCCTCTCACCTCCAGTATGGGCCCCCTCGTCCCTGGCAAGGTTGCTACTACCAGTGTCATCACGATAGTGAAATCCAAAACGGACGCCCGGTCTTAGTGAAGCGAGAGTTGCCTGAGCTTGTCTGTGCAGGGCAGTTAGGCACAAAACCAGCCTGGAACCCCCAAAGCACAAAGCCTCCCCACATGGGTCTGGGTTCCTTCTACTTGGCCCAGGACTGGCCTGCTGATCACTCCAGTTTTGTTTTGTTGTGTCCAGATTGGTATGAGCAGTGGTGATGCGTCCCTTGTCCTGTGCAGACAGAGCCTCCCGCCCAGCGCTCTGCAGCCCTTGAGCGCCCTTGGGACAGGCTGCGAGATCTTGGGTTTGTAGCCAAGGAACATCTGTGCAGTGTGGCCGATGGGAGGGCTGGGGGGAGGTCCGGAGGGAGGCTTTCTTCCTGGGCCGGGAACCCTAGTTTTCAGTCACTTCCAAAGGTTTTATTTCATTACTCTTCCTGGTGGTGCATCTCGGTGTCTGACTGCCAGGCGCCTGAACCTGCTGCTTTTGTCTCATTTGGTACCTGTAGTTGCAGTTGGGGTGTTCTGTGTAATAGGCTTGTATTCCTTTCTCGGTGTGCCTCTGTGCCCTGGCAGTGGGTTTCCCTCGGACGTCCGTGGCGTTAGCTGTGTGAACTAGCAGTGGTGGACAGGAACATGCTGCTGTGCCTCTGCCCCAGCGCTGGGCCGGAGCACCCCAGGGGAGGGAGGGAGGGAAGGTACCGTGTTGACTGCAGGCCGGTTTTGTGCCTAATGTCTTGCACTGAACAAGACCAAACTCACTAGTTGTTCCCGTGTTTTGAGGGTATCAAGTGTCTCTAGTGTGATGGTTTACACAACCAGTTTATGTGGTTAAATAGCCCTTTATTTAAAGAGAGAAACATCATTTTAAGAGTTATTAAATTATCTAAGTTTAAAATTAAAATCAGACAGAAGAGAGAGCGTATTTATAGTCAGCTTTTTTATCCGAGAGGGCGAGAATATTTGACCATCTGAATGGGGAAATATTCTCGGAGACTTTGCTAGTTAAAAGTTAATAAAGAAATAATTTTAAAGTTTCTCATGAACCTCCCGCAGGCTGTGGCTCTGAGGTTAGTTTTTATAAAGAGTTATCAGACTTTATTTATAAAACTTAGAAAAAGACAAAAAAAGAGGCAAGTCCTGTTTGATATCTTTTTGCAATTGTACCAAAAGTGACTTATTCTTGACCTCGTTGGCTTCCGTTGTGTCCCCTCGTGTCGCGCTCTTTGTTCTCTGAGCTCGCTGTGCTGTGCTGGTGCCAGTGGCTGCCTTCGCCGTGTGCTGTCGTTTTCTCACTGCCGTCGTTTTCCATAAGCTCAACCAGGAGATGGAGTTGGCATCTTTGCGTTCTCCGGGAGGACTCTGGCACACTGGCACAGGGGCTGCTGTTCTGGAGGGCAGGAGTGGGCGGCTGGTGCAGCTTTTAGTGATGCCTGTCCGGAAACACGTCTGCAGAGGCGTGCTGCGGGAGCAGCCGGCACCGGGGCACTGCTACCGGAATGGGGGAACCGTGCTCTCCTCCCTCCAGCAAAGCTGGCAGAGGAGTAACATGGGGGAGAACTGTCCAGGTTTAGGAGGAGGCTGATGGGATTTAACTGTGGGATTGGATCCTGTTGTGTTGCTCTTGGGGCTCATCTGACAGGGACCAGTGCTGGTCCTGGGTGTCTGTGGTGCTGGAAATGGAGCTGTGGCCTGGTGACTGCCCGGGCTGGTGCAGCCCCTGCCTGTGGGTGTTGGAGGAGTGCTCAGACTTAGAGCTGTGTGACGCAGCTGAGGAGCTGTTTGGCTCCATTTCCTCAAACACTTTGATCTCCCCTGCCCTCCCCAAAGCTTTGAGCTGATTACTGAGTTGTTGCAGAGAAGCAGGATGGGAGGGGGGTGTGTGTGTGGAGTGGGTGAAGTCCATGTGAGCTCCTGGCTGCCCAAAGTCCCCTGAGCGGAGGGAATGGGGCCGGGATGGCACAAGTGACACTGCAGCCTTGCGGGCGGCGGTTTGCCGTACTGGCTGGTTTTGATGCATTTCTCATGTAGCTGATCTGATACAGTTGTCCTCGGGGCTGAGAAGCAGGTAAACTGATGGCAGCTGCAATGTGGCAGGAGAGGAGCAGATAGTTGGTGGGCATTTCCTGCTGGAGGAGGAGATCAGTTTTGCTCTGACTGATTGGGAGTTTAGGGAGAAGCTGTTTCGAAAGGTTTTCCCAGTCCCAAAACTTTCTGAACACAGAGCAGGTTAGAACATGGCCTCCAGGCTTCTCCCTCCCAGCCCTGGGCTGTCTATTCTCTGAGCTGAAGTGTCCCACATGCTGCTTCCCAGCCGTTCACCGGGTGGGCTGTGCACTGAGCAGCACTCGGAGCTCTGGGCTCTAACCTTTGTCTTCCAGCTGGTGGTGCGGTGCCTGGAAGAGGTGAGACTCCAAAACACGATGACCTCCGGTTGGCCTGGGGTGTCAGTCCCAGCCCTGTCCTTCCTGGCGCCAGCCTGAGGTCAGACTTGTCCAGAGCTGAGTTCTGAACCCAGCTGGA